GTGAGTTCGAGGCTAACCTGGTCTACAGAGTGAGATCCAAGACAGGCACCAAAACTACACAAAGAAACCCTGTCTAGATGGTAGGAAAGCCTGATGATCCCAGAAAGGGCAAAGCTTTGAAAGAGGCCAGCAGAGGCCCGTGGATGACAAAGAAGACATGGTACTAAGGGAAGGACTGTTCGGATGCTGGATGCTTGTCCAGTCCAGGCTCAACACCATATTACACCACTTTCTGTGTCCAGAAGTTCAACTGAACAGACCTCTGCACCTGTCTGGGGTCCCCAATTTTCAAAGACCCCCAAAGAAATCACTCAAACAATACTTCATCCCCCTTTTTGTGTTTTCTTTTTCTTTTTGAGTTTCTACTTGCTCTCTTTTTATTATATTTTAGTATTTTTATTAAAGCACATTGTTAAGAAAGATCCCAGAACATGGGAAGACATGTTTCAGATTCTCTTGGGTCTGAAAATGATTGTATTTCTGGAAGCAATCTGTAGATCCAATGTAATTTCAGTCCAATTTCAATGGCATTCTTCACACCACTAGAAAAAGCAATCCTAAAATTCACACAGAGACACAAAATGACCACAAATAGTCAGTGCGATGCTACTCAGAACAGCACTGGAAGGATTACAACATCTGATCTCAAACTACACTATAGATCCAGGGTAACAAACACACCATGGTCTTGACAGACAATGGGATAAATTAGAGAACCCAGAAAAGGATCCCCACAGCTATAGCCATTATCTAATCCTTGACGTGTGTGTGTGTGTGTGTGTGTGTGTGTGTGTGTGTGTGTGTGTGTGTGTGTGAAAAGCATACACTATGAAAAAGATAGCCAACAAATATGCTGGAAAAACTGGATGTCCACATGTAAAAGAATGAGGCTATAGTTCCTAAGCTTCATGCAAATCAATTCAAAATGGATTCATGACCATAATGTAAAAGATGAAGACTTGAAAATTTTAGAAGAAAATATTTCTAAATGTAATCATAAATGTGAACTTTCTAGAAAGGACCCCAACAGTGAAGAAAATAATTCCAAGAATCAACAAGTAAATGGGGTTGTATGAAATTGGAAAGCTTCTGTACAGCAGAAGAAATGATCAGCAGAATGACCAAACAGCCTACAGAATGGGAGAAATTCTTTCTCAACTATATATCAAATAGGGGATTAATATCAAGAATCTATAAAGGGCTTTGAAATGAAATACAAAAAGGAAATATCCAAACAACAATGGGATACTGAATTGGATGGTTCTGAAAAGAAGAATTACAAATGGCCTTCAAGATGTACCATGGGAGAGATGAGAAAGGCCTAAAAATAAAAATACTTGATGCTACTAGCTAAGGCCTTTCAGCCAGCCACAGCAACTGCCCAGGCTCCCTTGTCTTCCAAGACCCAAGACCCTCCTGGTTCTGTTTCAAATGCGGTCAGAAAGGTCATTGGGCCCAGGTATATCCAAACCCTCACAAACCATTCTTAAAATAATACCTGGGTGCCATCAAAAGGAACACTGGGCTGATGACTGTCTTCATGTCCCTCATGGCATGAGGACATCAGGCCCAGATCACCCTCCAGCTGACCTCCTAGATCTTGCCATGGTTGACTGAAGGGGCCAAGATTCCTTTGGCCAGACCACTGCCATCTCCAGCGGGGAGTCTTGGGTAGTCATCACAGTATCAAGGCACTTCACCTCCTTTCTACTGGACACCAGGGCCACTTTTTAGTTGCTGATGAAGTTCTGGGGATCCATCTCTACTTCTTGATCCACTGTTGTTAGACTTGGGGACAGCCTTATCAACCTCCCCAAACCCCATGATTAGTTATATCATTAGGAGTTTTCCCTTTACCCACTCCTTCCTAGTGGTACCCGTCTGCCCCATTTCCTTGCTGGGAGGGAATCTCTTAGCCAAAGTGAGAGCCTCTATTTCTTTTGCTCTCTCCATCCACTTGACCCCAAGTTTGCCAGCTGTCCACCTCCTCTTTCTCTTCCAAGCCACACAATCTGACAAACCTTTTCCCTTATCAACGTCTCAGGCAGATTCCTGGGTATGGGACACCCCAAGGCCCTCTACAGTCAAACATCATCCCCTTCTCATCATTTAATTATAAACCTCCGCCAAATATATCAATACCCACTCTCTCTCCAAAGCCTCGGGAGACTTAAGCTTTTTATTTCTGACCTCTTAAGAAAAGGCCGTCTGGTCCCCACATGTCCATTGAACACCCCCACACTCTCAGTTTAAAAACTCAATAGAACCTACTGCTTGGTTCGGGATCTCTAACTTATCAACCCAGCAGTGGTTAGTCCTCACACCATAGTACCCAACCCTTATACTCTCCTCTCCACCATCCCCCTCAGAGACCTCTCATTCTCCTGTCCTAGACCTCAAGGATGCCTTGCTTTCTATTCCTCTTGAACCCCAGTCAAACAAATATCTTTGCCTTTACTTGGACAGACCCGGATACTCACCTTCTACCCAACTCACTTGGCCTGTCCTATGCCACATCTCCTTGGCAAGGCTCTAGCCTCTGACTTATTCTCTTACTAAATCCAAGCTTATACAATACACAGATGATCTTCTTTGTAGTTCATCACAGCAAATTAGCCAGGCTGACACCGCTATCTTATTAAACGTTCTGTCTGTCTGAGGATGCAAGATTTCACCATCTAAGATCTAACTGTCCACCCCTGAGGTTACTTATCTGAGACTATTACTCCAATTCACAAGGCCATTACCCTAGATAGGAAACATCTAATCCAGTTGCTGTCAATCCCCACCACCAAGGACAAAATTCTGTCCTTCCTAGGGATGACTGTCTTCTTATGCTCTTGGATTCTTTCTTTCTCTCTTCTCACCCACTGCTTATATGAGGCAGCCCTGGGCCCCTCATAGCAACCCCTCCTCATGCCCATTGCCAAGCCCTTTATAAGCTTCAACAGTCTCTCCTCCAGGCCCTGGCCCTACATCTTCTGGACTTAACTTGCCCCTTCTCTTCTCTATGTTACAGAAAAGGAGGCATATGCCCTCAGGGTTCTGGGTTACCAACTGGGACCTTCCTTAACTTACCGAAAAAAATTAGACCATAAAAATGGCCAATAAATATTTGAAAAAAATTTCAACATCCTTATACATTAGGAAAATGAAAACAGAAACTATCCTGAGACCCAGCTCACCCTTGTCAGCATGGCTGCCATTAAGAAAACTGATGACAATAACAGGAATCTAGGATGTGGAGAAGTAGAAATCCTTAGTCACTGCTGATAGGAATACAAACTTGTACAGCCACTAAGGAAACCAGTAGGCAAGTTGCTCAAGACATTAAAAATAGAACTACCCTGTAATCTAAGTATACTGATCCTGGTCATGTGACCAAAGAATTCTAAGTGAGCATAGCACTAAGATTCTTGCATACCCATGCTAATTGTTGTATTCTTCTCAATAGCCAAGAAATGTAACCAGCCTAGAGGTTGTTTGAAGATGAGTGGATTTAAAAATCAATGGTATATAAACACAAAGGAATTCTATGCACCCATAAAGAAAAGTGAAATTATAACATTTACAGAAAAATGGATAGAGCTGGGGATTGTTATATCAAAGTAAAATTAGACAAATTAAAGGAGATATGTTACATGTTTTCTCTCATATGTGAGATTAGATTATAATTACACATATATGTAGAAGATAGACAGATAGATAGATGATAGATAGATAGATAGATAGATAGATAGATAGATAGATAGATAGATAGATAGATAGATAGATAGATAATACAGAGAGAGAGATAGTAAAAGAAGAAAGTGGACTATAAGGGGGAGAAAGATCTAAAAAGAGGAAGGGAGAGAGAGTAATGGAATGAATATATGTGTCATGAAGGCAGAAGAAGTCTATTAGGAGAGGAAGAACTGCAAAAGGAAGAAGGGGGATTGGAGAGGGAACTTAGATGCATTTAAGAACAAAATGTAAATATATATATGTATATATGTATGTGTATAGATATGAAAATGTACTACTGAAACTCACTTGTTTAAAGTCTATCCACAATTTAGGTCTGCACTATGTCCTCTGCATCTATGTTATGGTTATAAGCTTGGTGATTTGGGGGGGACTCATGAGAGTGGGAGTAGGGGTGTCTCTGACTCTCTCTTCTGCTTACTCTTGGGATCCTTTTCCTCCTGCCAGGTTGCCTCACCCAGCCTTGATGTCAGGGTTTGTGCCTGGTCTTATTTTTATCTTGTTATGCAGTGTTCAGTTGATATCCCTGGGAGGCCTCTCCTCTTTTCTAGGGGGAGATGGGACAGGAGCGGATCTAGGGGAGAGGGAGGGATGGGAGGAGTGGAGGGAGGGGAAGCTGTAATCAGGATGTATTGTATGAGAGAAGAATACATTTTAAAATATCTAAACAAACAAACAAACAAGTAAATAAAGATAGGTTCAACTAATGAGCAACCACCACAAGGGCCATTTCAGTTAAATAACTAAAATAAAATATACCAGTAAAATTTATTAAATTTAATTTAAAAGCAAAAACTTAAATTAGTTATGTATGTGCAAGGTGCTAGTATAACATTTAAATAAAGACTGAATCCTTGGAGGCAATTATGAAAACAATTAGAATTTTACTGAAATTCACTTGAGGATTGTTGAGGACTATACCACCCTGAGAACCCCTGATCTTGTCTAATGTCCACATCGTAGACTAAGAACTTAAAAACATCAAAACATCCAGGGACAATTTATACATTCTCTGAAAATGGACATCTGCACCCAACAGGCCCAGTTATGATTTCAGTAAAGCTACCTAATTTTTAGAGATATTTTAGTTTCTAGTTTAGTCACTTTGAAACAACTGAACATCCCAAGCATTCTTTGATTCAAAGGTAACTGTTTGGGTAGACACTGTCACCCTTACATGGCACACTTACAAAGAGAGAAGCTAAAGAAGGAAGATGAAGGACGCCACTGAGTAGAAATTGCTAGAAGGACGGTACCTTGCACTGTGAGGAAAACTGAAGCTGCTGCTGATCCACCTTCACTGGAAACCACACACCGGTACTCCCCAGCATCACCAGTTTTCACACTCCTCAGCTCCAGCGAGAGGTTGGCCAAGGTCCTGATTCTTGCTGAGTCTGCTAGGCGGACGTCTCTGCCACTCTTCTGCCATGTCAGATTGTAATCCACAGCACTGATGACAAGACACGCCAAAACTGCTCTTTCTCCAGGAGTGACTGTAACATTATTAGGCACTTGGATGATCGGAGGGGGCTCTGTGTGAAATGAGAACACTCAAAATCAATAGACCTAAAATCAATTTTGCTCACATATAAATGTGGCTTAAAAACTGTATATATATATATATATATATATATATATATATATATATATACACGTGTGTGTTGAAAAACATGTCAGGAAGGTTTCAGTATATACCAGAAATTATTGATTAATGCCTATGTCAATGAGACCCCCAAATTATCACCCAGTCACAAGATATTTTAGAAGGCAATGTACCTGTACATACCAAATTTAAATCTCTAAGTTATAATTGTGAGAGTTGAATTGGCATAGCAAAAGGATATGGCTGGAAGGGTTTGGGATGACGGAATAAAGCAGGCTTTTTTCGTTTGTTTTGATGAAAGTAGCATTTACTGGTTGTTTACATTTAAAAACAGATATCGAGCAATATAAAGAACATAGCACCCAACAGATGATAGACATAACAAGATGCAACACCATCACCTTTCAGAGGGGTTGCATCATTACCAGGAAGAAAAAGTACAACAGTAGAGTAAGACAAACACTCCCCTAATAAAGACGAGGAGCAAGTTCATCTTAGAAAGCTGAGTGAATTGATGGGGCAGATTTTAAGAGTACCAGGAAGTCTGCTGTAGTATGGTGTCTTCCAGAAATGACAGGGAAACTACACCCATGGTACCTCAACAATATGGCTGCCTAAACGAGACCCGAACAATGCCAATATCAATAGATATGTTCATGTGGGCCCATCCCCTGAAGAACTACAGGCAACTAATGACTGAGAGATTAAGAATTTACCTGCCCCCAGTGATTAGTTATTCAATAATCGGTTATCCTATATCAAGTAGTCAGCTCTGAAATCATATACAAGTTCTGAACACAGCTTGTGTCTGTCTTCTATCCTCACTTGCTTACAGGTGCTTTTCCCCAGTGAACTCCAATAACATGCTTGCAGCATGCTACACCCCACTCTATTTCCTCCTCCATAAAAGTTACAATAAGTGAAATGGCATTTGAAAAATAATATGTGTGAGCCAATGAAATTTGAAATAATGAGATATCGCACTACTAGTGCACAAATACATAAAGATAGTGAAGATTGCACACATTAACATATTTGTACATATGGGGACAGGAGACTGATGAGATTTTTGTGCCAGCTTATGGAAGAGGCTAAGGTTATATGTTACCAGAAATTATCTGCACCTAGAGCATAAGGAATACACATAATTAAGTAATACCACAATTAAAGTTAGGATATAGTGACCAGAGAAGGTAGCCCAGTCACAGAGGCAGGAAGCAGAGCATGCATAGGCTGGGGGTGTAAAGCAAGGAACTTAGTCCAGACCAGGAGACCAGGATATGCCCTTCTGCATGTATCTCTCCCATGTGTCTACCTGACCATGAATGGGTCGATTGCTCATTCTGGGCTTCTGTTTCTTCGGCTATAAATGATGAGATGTTATAATATTGTTTCCAAGCCTTCCCTTGTTCTAAAAGAATATCCTATAATCTGAAATTGAGATCGACTCTCATCGCTTCTCAGTCTTTTGGTGAAGCAAGTGGAGATTTACTCTTACTGGGAACAGAGAGATGGCTCAGTGTGAAGAGCACTTGCTGCTATTACAGAGGACGTGGGTTGGGGTCCTGACACCCACGTGGTGGTTCACAACCATTTGTAACTACAGTTCCAAGGAATCCAATGCCCTCTTCTGATCTCTACAGGACCTTACCATGCATGTAGTGCACACAGAAACATGCCAACAAAACCTACACATAAATAAGATAAATAAATGATTCTAATTTTTAAACATTTCCTTTCACTGGCACACCTTGACAGAATCTCTATTTAGAATTTCACTTAATGCCAGAATCTTAGTGTGTATGGTTTTTTATTAATAAAAATTCAATACAGAAAATTAACATACCTGTAATAATATTAAACTTAATCTCCAAAATATCATTAGAAGTAATGGGTTGTGCACACTTGTGTAGTTTTAGTCATTGTTATATCCATTTGTAATTGAGAAATGCTTTATAATGCCCACTTTGTATTTAAGATGCAAATTTAAATACCCATCTTCTCTTTCAAACAATCAATAACCAACATTAGAAAAGAACCCCAAAAATCTCAAAAATGTCAATACAACAAAATGCTAAAACAAATGAGAAAACATGCTGGTATAAATTTAACTTTTCTTCAGATATCTATTGGATGGTCTTTGACTTTATATAATATCAAGTATGGTGACACAAGAATATCACTATCCATAATGCTCACTTTCTAATATTTCTTTATCAAAACATGAGACCGGGCTATATAGTTAATCAGCACCTGATTCTAAGATCTGGATAAATAATGACTGTATGGTGGCTGAACAGAGACTTTAACCTAGGCAAAGGGAAGCTGAGAAGTAGGTGAAGGCTAATGGCCAGTACGTTAAGCAATAGCTATCCTTGAAAGAAATGCCAACTCTTTCAATCCCCAAGGAGCCCTTGTCTGCCACTCCTACTCTTAAAATCATTGCCATGACCATTGATGCTTTCTGACTTCTTTCACAAGTGACTAAATGGGAAGAATTCCTGGAAGTTGGCTTGGGAAGGGTCCAGCTCCCTAGTTATGCCACCGACCAGCTGGCACAGAGGATGACTAGTAGGACGGGTGCAACAGAGGCAACAGGAAGTTCCTGGCACCACTGAGCCAGCTTCGTAACAGTCAGCTCACACGTCCCTACTGGCATCTCCCAGTTACTTAGCAAGATGCTCAAATCAACTCGCTCAAGTCTCTTTCCCTCCTGTCCTTCTCTCATTAACACTGCCGGGAAGAATATTCAAGTGCTCAAGTGTTTGCTTTCCCAGAAGCTGAGGAATGTTGACATAATTCCAGGGCTTTTCATAATTTCTGGAGATGAAAAAACAAATAGTTTGTGATGTATGTCAACTCGCTAAGCTATTTCAGAAGACAATCTTTCTTTTCCTAATAATAAGAGAATGCAAGTGGTTTCGCTGAAAGAACACGCCTGCCTGATTTACATGCCTCTCTTTCCAAGTTAAGCTTGGACACAACAAACCCTAGGATTCTAAACCATCATCTAATTAAAACATTTCTTCTGTCTTAAATTATCTCAGGAAAGTACATACTGAAAGCAGAAACAAGCTCTGTTGCAGCTTCAGCCAATGACACTAGGCTAGGGTCAGACTAGGATACAATTAAGCACAGAACAAGGCAAGGTGGGCATAGAATAATTCAGTTAAAATGAAATTTGGGGGCTGTGGATTTAGCTCAGGGGCAGAGCAATTGCTTAGTGCTTGCCTATGTGAGACCTTGGGTTGAATCCCCAATATCTATATTTTAAAGTATACTAAAATTATAACTGGTTTGATCCTGACCATTGATTATATATCCCAGTCTCCTCCCCCTAATTATTCTGGAAAAATTAAAGGACAATGTTTTTTTCACGAACATATTTTACCCTATAAAATATCACGTACTGTGCCTGCCACCTACCTATTCATAGGCATTTGCTCTCTGAATGCAAAAGAACTGGTGGCACACACGTTTGTCCTTCTTTACACTACACTCTAGCCAGTAAAGCTCTGTGTTCCTAGACCACTTTCAGTTTCATCACGGTCTTCAATTTGGAGGTCAGAATCTATTTGTGAAAACACTGTGATTGATGATACGTGTAAACATGAGGGAAAGGAAAGGTGTACTCCTCTTGTTACCCTCAGAATAGATCAATTCTTTAAGTCGTATTTTCTCAAAGGGCAATGCCATGTGGTTGTTGAAGTGGTTTGAACGAGGACGTCTCCCATAGGCTCACATGTCGGAAAGCTCGGTGCATACCTGGTGATCCTGTTTCAGAGGTTTAAGAGGTGTGGACTCACTGGATACAATGAGTCTATCACTGAAGTGGGATTTGAGAGATAAAAGACTCCTGTCATTTCAGGTTTGCTGTCTGCTATGGGCTTACAGGTCGGCGAGCTTTCACCTGCTCTGCCAGCATGCATGCCGCTTGGGGCCATGCCTCCCCACCAGGAACCTCTGGAACCATGAACCCAAGCAAACCATGGTGTTAGCTATAGCAATGTCAATAACATCAGTAGGCCTGGAAGGCTCGTTAAGTGGTTAAGAGCAGGCACTGCTCTGAAGCAGACCAGAATTAGGTTCCCAGCGCCCAGGTTGGGTAGCTCACCACTGCCTGTAACTCCAGCTCCAAGGGATCTGATGCACCTGGCTTTCTCTGCGGGCATTTACACAGACATACACCACCACCACCACACACACACTTTCTATGAAAAAAATAAAAATAAAATCCTAAGTGGTAAAAATAATAATAACTATTTATTGAGTGCTTCTACATTCCAAGTTACCTTCTAAGCACCTTGAATGTACCACGGATATTGCTTAGTCCTCTGTAGGATAGACATTCCTCTATTATTAACCTTTTAGAGTTAGGGAACTAAGATATCAAGGAGAAGACAGAGAGGCAGAATGTGGGGGAGCTGGCATCTGTATTGACAATGCAGTGAAGTGGGTAGATAACCACAAATGATCCTAAAGAGAATTGTATAAACTCAGGAAGGAGTCATTTCTATAGGCGCACTCACAGACAGGTGACAGTTACCTGATACATCAAAAAACGTCTGTGCCCGTCCAGTCCCTGCGCCGCTCACAGCAATACACTCATAGGGGCCTTCATCAGACAACGTGACCTTTTTGAAATCCCAGTTCACACTAGCCGACTCTCTGAGGACAGGAAAAGAGAAAGCTTTTAGTGTCTGCCAAACAAGAGAAAACTGAAAGCAATGACCAATGATTTTGTTTTTGAAGGACTTGTGCCAACGAACAATGTAAACAAAGTTGGTTGTGAAAACTGCAGATTTTTAACTTAAAAATCACACACCTTTTATATTTTAAACAGAATTATGCTTCTCTCTGTTCTGAGCAAAAAACATATGAGAGTCAATAAGCTGTAGGAATGAAAATTTATCTTTAGGAAATGTTTTTCTGTCTGTATGAAGACATACTTAGTTGACAAACACTGATGAAATTTCTCCTGTACTTTACAGTTTGGAGTTGAAAATCCTGATCAAAACAATGATACAAGGTAATTTACAAACGTGAGGTTAAGACAGCAGCTTTTTACTCTAAGAAAATAGGTTTTCCTTAACTTTCTTAAGTAAGTTACACCTAGAGATATATATTATATCTGGTTTAGCCTACACATAAAATAACGAATGTGAAAACTGAAAAAAAAAATACATTAGTTCTATAAACAAACTCATGCAACCATCCATTTAACAAATATTGATTTATTCACTGCTAAAATTACTTCTCGTTTTCTGGGACAGTCTAACAAGCAGATATTTAACTATTGCATTAAAAAGTCCAAAGTGTATAAAAGTAGGCCTTATCCTTTAAAAATATAGCTTAAATATAAATATTTTACATTTCTCTATTTGATCATCTATTGCTATTCATAATCTTTTGTGGGAAAAGATTGAAGATTCATGTAAACTGTAAAGACCTCTGCAGAGTCAAGACACCTCTGACTGATTTCTCAACAAAGTAACCATGACTAGCTCACTGAGCTCTGATTTCATGGTCAGTCCTGGTATAGGGAGTGGAATATTAGGTTAAGCATAGGTTCTTATCATCAAGAATGTGAGTACCTAAGTAGCCATTATTCTGTGTACTATCGTAGCTTGGGATATTTCAGCTCACATTTCCTGTCCATTCTATGTGAACTCTGTCACCAGTGGTGCTTTCTGTTCAGAAGCAAACAGTCTCACTTAACTGTGCACTGTCCTGGACCCTCAGGCTCTCTCTCAAACACTTTACAGCAGGACACTAAGCACCAATTTGCAAATGCCCTTCTCTAGGAGGTACTGTCAGCCACAGGAAGACAATAGCTTGGAAAGCTTACATCTCAGCTGTTCTCTGCAATGCCTCCCTCAGAGCTGAGCACACATTAGGATTCATCAAATCTTAGGCTCATGGAAATTTTGGAACAGAAAATAAAAATTCATCTAGTCTCCAGTCCTTCATTTTAAAAGAAAAGTGAAATGGCAATTATTTTGTCTAATGTCACACAATCAGTTTGCAAATTGATTTAAGAATACTCTTGCTGGGTGGTGGTGGTGCACACCTTTAATCCCAGCACTTGGGAGGTAGAGGCAGGCAGATCTCTGAGTTCCAGGCCAGCCTGGGCTACAGAGTGAGTTCCAGGAAAGGCGCAAAGCTACACAGAGAAACCCTGTCTCAAAAAAAAAAAAAAAAAGAATACTCTTTACAGCTATCATTGACTTGTAGCCCTCTTATCTATGAACTGCTGCAAGAAGGAAAAACAAAAGTTTTGAGACAAGTTCTTACTATGTAGCACAACCCAGGCTCAAACTTGTAGTCCTCCTGCCTCAGCCTCTCAAGTGCTGAGATAAAGGCACGTGCCTGTATGTCTGACTTAGTAATTCTTTTTAATGTAGCCTTCTCCCTTGACATAAGCATTCTAAGGCTAAAATAAAGGAAGGGGTCTCGAGATGTGGACCTTAGAGCAGGGCAAAGAGCCTGTCCAAGAGACGTGCTTACTGCAAATGCAAACTGACTTTTCTCTGACATTCCCTGACGGCCCAAGTGGAGTGGCTGACACAAGAGAAGATTAAGTCCCATGTTTCATATTACTGGGAATTTATGGCAAAGGCAAGCAAGTGAACTGGGATTAGAGTATCGGTCTATCATCACTCACGACTTAATACATGTCAGCAAGGCCTGCCCCATCTCAGGGCCACAGCACTGGAAACATGAGAAAATGAATTTTTGTGGCTTACCTCCCAGGAATTGTGCGGAATCAATGAGTTAATGTTTATAAAGAATCTCAAGTGTCTTTGAAAGCTGTCACTATTTAAACAGGAAGCAGAGTTCCTTTATTTCATCGGCTAGTTATGTGGTCCCATCATCTGATAGCCTGCTCTGTTATGTGGCTGGTTATAAAGCAGGCGACTAAGTAAATCATCAAGATGGTCTCTGTACGGAGCGGGCAGCTGGTAGGGAAGGGAAAACTTTGGGGATATGATTAATTTTCCAGCCACAAGCATTACCCAAAATGAATCTCCATAAAGAGATTATATAAATGAAGACTGTCAGATAGTTAACATCTTATAGAACTATGTTAATGTTGGCGTCGGCAGTGTAAAAGATTGCTAACGTCATTCTTAGACCTTTGTTTACTCCCAAATCTAGTCAGGTTTTGTAGCAATTCAAAAGGCAATACATTTTCCAGAAATAATTTTTCTAGCATTTTTTTCTCAAGATCTACGTAATCGCTTTCAATGAGATTACTTGCATTTATCAATAAAAAAAAGGTCACTCGACTTTAGAAGGCAGACTTGGTACCTTCTAGCCAACTCCTGTTGATTTCTCCACGCTGTAGGCACACTTGCTCCTGGTGAGCCGTGCCATTCTGCTCTCAGCACACAATGAACTCCTAGGCATTGTCTTCTACCCTTCTCTTCCTAGCTGGCTGAGATCCACACACACGCTGGCCTTATTTCTGCCTTCCCTTTCCCGCCCAGTCACGTGGTCCTTGTGCATTTCCATTTGCTAGTGTGTGAAATTTTCCCAGGATATGTGATCTCTCGCCCAGGATATGACCTCTCTCACCATCCTTAGGGGGGCAAATGGCTCTCATCCCTTTTGTTGTTGTTGTTTTGTTTGTTTATTTGGTTGGTTGGTTGGCTTTCCAGGACAGGTTTTCTCTATGTAGCTTTGGCTGGCTTGGAACTCACTCTGTAGATCAGGCTGGCCCTCAAACTCAGAGATCTGCCTGCCTCTGCCTCCCAAGTGCTGGGATTAAAGATGTGCCCCACCACTCCTGGCTTCTCATCCGGTTTTGAATTTGCTACTTGAAATTGAAAAGCTACAGGTTAATAACCTACCGAGCGTTAATATTTCTAATTAAATAATTAATTGGTGTTTTGTCATAACACTCATCAGATGTGCCAATTATATTACACTTTAAATAGAAGTCATAGACACTTTTAGCCCAAATTCAATGAAGCTAAAGGTTCTAGGGCTCTCCTTTGCAAAGAGTTCCTTCTGAAGTCGGCTACCTAACATTGAGTTCATAATTCTGTCTTGCTTGACTTAACTTGGAACCCTCAAATTATATGAAACGCAGACTCTATAAGGCCTAGAATATACCAAATGTATTCTAGAATTTATTACATCATCGCGGTATATTTATTATCTGTTTCCTGTCTCCTTCCACTACAACCTGAGCTCCACCAATGCCCAGACTTCTGTCCATTCTGTTAGTGCTGTATTCTAACATGGTAAAGGCAGTAAGTGATTGTCAGGGAAAGAGTAGAGAATGGAATTTCCATGTTTATTGCTAAAAGGAACGTTCACACACTTGAAGTACTGGTCCACTCCCAGTGCAATTCCATTTCTCACGAAGCTCAAAGTGAAGGGCAAAAGACTCTCAACCGAACAGAGGATTTGGCCTGGCTGCAGGTAGTATCCTGGGGTCCTCGGGGGCATTGTAACTTTGGGAGCATCTAGGAAAAAAGAACACAGGTAAGATAGTCACAGTGATAGTAAACATTTTCTGTGAATCCATCCTCAAGTGTTACACTTGAGTGATTCTGATAAATCATCAGAATTACAATGAATATAAATTACTAAATTTAGTTTAACTAACTCTATTCAAAGCAGATTCATTTCTGGATATTACCACAGGCCCTCACTATGATATTCATCAAATTAAAGACTCCATTGATTTTAAAATGAACAGTTTTCTCCACTACCAAGCTAGGAGAAAATATCAAATGAGCTACATTACATCATCAACTGTAGAATAAATTCTTATTCCAAATATGTAAAAATATGAGAAGAGTCCACTTATCTTAGAACACAGGGTAATTTTTTCCTAAAAGGAACAATGAGAAGTATTTTTTTAAAGAACCCAACAAATTTCATACATTCAATATCGGGGCGAAGCCAATTCACTTGAGTGTTAATGTGAGGAAATCTTGAGGTTGGTTCTGTGCTCACGATTGTACAATCACTGAACAATAGCTCTTGAATTTCCAAATCCCAATCTCATACATAACAGATACGCTGCTAGCTCCTGCCCCGCTTTATAAACAACCTTTTGTAGGGCAATCTTGAAGTTACTATATACAGTCAGAATGGATCATTTCAAAATCTCTCAGGTAGAGATAAACAGGGACCTGATGCCCCCAAGTCATTACTATCTTGTAACCACATCTTTATACAACAGGAGGCACATCAGGAACTAGTTTAGTAATTAACTAACCAACTAATTCAACATAGAATCATCACTATTTGTTCATAGTCCACTATTCATGGAATAGACGGTGCTTGGCCATTGTTTAACCAACTTAGATAACAAAAGAATAGGGGAGGAGAAAAAGGACACTACAATGCCCCAATGATTAAAGCTACCAAATTTTCAAATCTGTAATCAGTAAGACTTATCATAAAACTTTAGAAGTATTATTTAAAAGGTAAATATACATGCAATAACAATTAGTGGGAAAAAAGAGGCCATGAATAGGAAGGAGAGGAAGTGGGGCATATGAGATGGTTTGGAGGGAGAACAGGGAAGAGAGAAATATTATAATTAAAATATAACCTCAAAAAGAAAAACGTAAAAGTTTACATAAAACAATAATAAACAAGGAAGGTCTTTTTTACAGTGAACTGAGACCATTACAGAAAGTCACAACTAGTTGTAAAGATGAATGGAACATGGGAGCCCAGCCCCAAAAGATACATCAGAAGCACAGTGCCTGCACCCCAGGCTCAGGGGACACCATGGAAGAGGGGATAGGAAGACTGTAAGAGCCAGAGCACCAGGGAGTCTGCTGTAAGAATGTATCTCCTAGAAACGTCAGGGAGGCTACATCCATGATACCTCAACAATATGGCTGCCTAAACAAGACCTGAACAATGACAATATCAATGGCCGTGCTAACACAGAAGGGGGAAATCTCATTAGATCCCATCCCTAGACAAAGGACTAAAGGCCAGGCCACTAGTGACTGCTGAGAGAAGGAGAATTAGCCTCTCCCAGGGATGAGCCCCCAAGACCATACAAAGTAGTCAGCCCTGAAACCATATACACAAACCAAAGCCACAATAAACCGACTCAGAAGTTGGATCTATATACCTATTCATCTCTGTATGTAATAATAATAATCAAAGAAAAAGAGGCTGTCTATTTGAGAAAAAGTGAGGGTGAACATGAGGGAGGGGTTGGAGGGAATAACAGGAAGGGAGCAGTGACTTATTTACATATTTAAAAATTTTAATAAATACATATATATATATATATATATATATATTACACCAGAATAAAAATAAAAGTAAAAAAACACCAAGTTATCTGCATGTAATGCTCATCAATCTGTTGACAGAGTAGTAACATGAAGATATTAATTTTTAGTTTATAGTCCATTTTTTACTTGTGGCATAGTCCCCTTAAGTTATCAACATTCCATTGTCTCACCTGGGACAATGCTGGAAAACGAAACACTCGACACTCTCTGGAAGAGATAGTCATCTTTGTCATAGCCTGTCACTTTGAGAAAGAAAGCTTCATCTGGTGGAACAAAGTCAGAAATATTCCAGATGCCGTAAGGTTTTCGATCTGGGTAGTGTTTAACAGGAATCGTCTTAAGAGACCCCCCTGAGATACTCAGAAGTTCGAGGCGATCGACTCTAGCTGGACTGGAGATTCCAGAAGTGTTCAGTAGCACATAGGTAGGTATCCCTGGAAGAAAGAGGCATTGTCATTTACAAGCAGCACACGATTGGGAGTCATCTGTGAAATGAGCACCAGCACCATAGCAGCATATACGCACTGTCGGGATGAATACTATCCACTGCCCTGAAACTGGTGGTCTACATAAAGATAGACACTTGGGACATTCTATGTGATTATCTCACAGTATCTTAGCTGTTCTTAGACAGAGAAAATTAGAATTATGACTATTATGTGATAGTTGATTATGTGACTACTTTTAAAGATTCACTTTTTTATCCTTACTTAAAACTGCCACAATAAAGATAAGTTAGCAACCATCAGAAAAGGATTCAACCATCAGAAAAGCACGGTATGGCTGAGCTTTGCCTTTAGCTGTAAGACAATAAACCTTAGTGGGTGAATAAAATAGGTACAAGAACAAGGTTTAAAAACCACTAATGATTTCATCTTTGAACATAAAGTAATACACGATATCTTTAATTTTCAGCAATATATATGCACTTCATCTTGACCAAGCAGTTTATAAATTATTAATATTAAAAATTCACAAAGAACTTTTCTTAATGAGGTTATTGTCAAAGAGTCAGCTGGGCCGCTCACCTAAAACTCATGTTCCTAGGCCCCAGCTTCTGCAGTTCTGAGTCAGAAGATTGAAGCAGGGCCTGGGAGTCTTAATTTTTAAAAAGCCCTTTGAGATTCAGTTGTCCTTAGCCATTCACTGGTCTTGGATTGCACTTTGCAAAACACGAAGTGGGCCAAAGAAATAATCACGGTCATGTTAAAGAAAGACGATATCCTAGTAAATTGCAACTGATTGCTATGGACTTACACAGTCACACCTCAGGTGAGGCACAGGTTTCACTAACACCAACTTAAGAGCTATGTGCACACTAACCTTGCACGGGTCTGCTGAGTGTTTTTTTGAAGTCCAGCGTGGGCTTTCGGGAAAAGCCAGCTCGGAAATCAATAGTGCTGAGACCAGTGATACGAACAGAATGTCTTCCACTGCTGGAGGTCTAAAACACATAACGACAAGCCTAGTCAGCAGCTGGTAACAGCGAACGCCATTGGTGTGTCAAACCACAGAGTGTTTACAACTGATGTGCCGGAGTCACGGCTCTGACGGAGGCATTCCAGCTGAACGTAGTTGTGATTCTCCATTCTAAAATGCAGATTTTGCAGTGCATGTCTCATGTAGCCTTCTCTAAAGTATAATTCAGGAAGTACGGCATACCCAGCAGTCAAAGGTAAAAAATATTCAGTTGCTGATAAGTGAAATTTAAAGAAAATCTAAAAGCTCCATGAATTTCTGAATTTTTCCTCTGTTTTCTGCTGTCAAATGGTAGATGTTCAACAGACATTGATGAAATAAGAAACTAAAATTCCCCCCAACAAAATACACTCAAGTTCAATTCTGGAAAATGTTTCCTTGTTCTTTTTTATTAATTTTAAATTAAAATATAATTACATAATCTTCCCCTGTCCTTCCCTCTCTCCAGTCTCTCCCATCTACCCTCCCCCCTGCTCTCTATCAAAGTTGTGGCCTCTGTCCTCTTTTTCCTAATCATATACATACAAGTAACATTATAGAACTGAGCAGATTGTATTTATATATTTAAGAATATATGTACTGTCTCATTTTCTCTGCCTCTGTGACATCACTGTCAGAGTAAGCACGAGAGCTGACAATTACCCAGATTTTAACCATCTAGCATCCTCAGCCCAGCAGCATTCTAGCAAAGGTGCCTAGTGCTGAAATACAAATATGAGAAAAGCATGGCACTCACACATTGACTACTTGGAGGGGGGGATGGAGATGTGGGAATGCTCAATATAACACAACAAACACAGTGATAGAAAGATACAAAAGAAAGATGAGTTAGCTTGGTCAACTAAAGGGATGATGCTGGACTAAATATTGAATAAAAGTAAGCATTAAAGTGATGAGCATGTGCATAAATAATAAATGATTTGGATTTAGTTCCCAGTACCGATTTAGTGGATCTTTCCTGTGGACTCGGAGTATTTAAACTCAGTGGTTTACTCAGTTTTATTGTGATCTTCTCAAAGAAACATAATCATCCTCGGTAGAAAGATGGCAACTTTGTGGCACTAAGTTGGTAAACAGTTTGCCCAAACACATAAGGTTTGCTAACTATGGAGACAGAACTGTGATTCAATGGCCAAGTGCGAGCATCTCACCACAGCATGACATTGTCCACTACGAATCAGCATTTGCTTCCTGCTCAGTTTCTCTTAAAGGAGACTCTGAGGATCTCTTACATCAGCACCTACACCTATACCAGACCATTTGGGCTGGAGCTCAGGACAGGTGAGGCAAGGTCAGCATTTGGTAAAGATGACGATTTGATATTAAAACCACACCAGTATCCTGTAATTGTGATTACACAGCCTTTCCTTGAAAAGAAAATATGGCAAAGTGAAGGAGCAGGGTGGATCAGACTCTAGATTTCTGAATTCAAGTGAGATTGCCAGGAATGATGGGAGAGCCCGAAGGGCACTAGAGCAAGTACCATGGAGAGTTCCAAAGGTGGCGGGGAGTTCCAGGCATGGGGGGGGGGGGTGTCCTCCTAGGACTTACACTAGCTAAGTTCTTCCTAGCCACCTAGCGCACAGCAGATGGATCTAACTAATTAAGGGTGATGGTTTGCTAAATCCCTGTGTAGCATGAATTGTTAGTACCACCATATCTCTGCCTACATTTAAAGCCCCTTCAGGGTACTAATAATGCTATTCAATAGACACAAATGGTATTTATTCCAAGTTCAGTGCTCCTTCCAAAGTACCAAAGACCACAGATAGGAGTTTAGTGTAACAATTTCTAGGTAGCCTTGAACTCTAAGGCGTAGAAGATGATATTATTCTCGAAGTTTGCTGTAGCTGTTGTAGAGTTCCAATGATTCTTTCTGTTAAACGAGTCAGGGAGTGCTGATAAACATTTCTGTGAAAGAAAGATGCTCTATATTTTTGGACTTAAAAAAATAGGTTAATACATCAAACATGCTAATTTATAGGTCCCAGCTCGATGTCACTTAAAATAATGAGCAAGGTAAGTGTATGCCTGATTTTCCATGAATCACCAAGAGCCAGCTGCAGTCTGCTATAAGGCCATAGGGCCAGTTCTGGTCCACGGATTATAAATAGAGTGTGTCATTTCTGAGTTGAAACAGATCCCTTCCTTTTACTCATTCAGTACACGTTCTGCTGTCTTTTCTTCTGCCAAAGTGAATAAAAATTTTACAGGTAAAAATTCAAGTGGAGCACCCATCAGCCAGAGTTTCTAAGTGACTGTCTAAAATAGGGCAGTCTGTCAAACTGCATGAATATTAATGAGAACAGAACTGCCTTATATGAAGCCAGTGAGAATTCCTAGTAAAACCAATTGGATTAAAATTTAATTGATAGAGCTGGATTTCATTTCCTGCTCTTAAAGAGTTGTAATGTTTCATAAGACAACAAATTTACTCAAAGCTAAAGTCAAAACAAAACCTACAAAATAATTATATATATATATGTATATATATGTATGTATGTATATATATATGAATTCAAATGAAGATACAATATATGGCATATATATTCAAGAGATGGTTATTTAACTAATTAATCTACCCATGTGGCAACAACCCTTTAAACACTGTTTTCCAATTTCTCATTCGGTCATGAGACTATTAAATAACTATCATGTTCTTCAGACTTTACAAAGTTAAGGAATACTCTGAGATCACACAGATAATGAATGATTGACCTTGAACTAACATAGATATCCACCTCTTTTCAAATATTTGCTCTTAAAGGAGACCCCATTCCTTCCAAATTAAAGAAGATGATTATGTTCACCAATTTTTCATTGAGCACTGCTGTGATACAGGCATTGTGTCAGCCATAAACACACAGCAGCAATACCAGCTCACTCTACATGCCACTCTACTGGGCATTGCCTCGTTGGATGAATATGCCAGAAAGGAAAGAAATGGAGTCTAAAGAAGAAAGTCAGTTTAAACACACACACACACACACACACACACACACACGCACGCACGCACGCACGCACGCACGCATGCACGCACGCACGCACTTGTATACACACAAGTTAGTCTCTGCTCAAGTGAACAGATCTCTTTTTAAATAAAAATATTCCATGTAGATAACATTTTGATATTGGAAGGCCAAAATAACTGGATAGTTTTCTAGGAAAGGGCTATGATAGAGTGTTCCATTGCCCAAACACTAAATTAATGCTGCAGACAATTGTCTACAGACATTCATAGGCCGCCAGGTGACGATAATTGGAGGACTCTCTTGGGTGGTTCTTTGCAGACTTAAGAGTGCTTTACTAATGACTCTTAACCACACTTATGCCAGTTGACTATACTGTGATTTACAAAACATACTATTTTTCATTAAAAAAATTCAAAATTTAATAAATTAATGACAATACTTTTTATTTGGATACACTAATACTTCCTTGTTTGTAAATTTTATGCAGTTATGCAGATAAACACATAGAAATCATTTACAAATTTTGCATAGTGGCTTCAAAAATTTGATGTCAGCAAAATTTAGGTACAAGTATTTGATTGATGATGAAATCCTAAGTAGTTAAGACACACGGATATTGAACTTCAGTACAATTTCCAAATATCACAATGCTATGGAACAAAGTACTTTTTACATTTTGAAAAATGTTTTAGATAATTCCATGCATGGGTATCTTCTCGACTCCTCCCTTCCCCCTCCAACTCCTCCAATGCCCCCCTACGTCTCAAATTCATGACGTCTTCTTTAATTATTAGTGGCGTGTGAGTCTGTGCGTGTGTGTGTGTGTGTGTGTGTGTGTGTGTGTGTGTGTGTGTGTGTGTGTTTAGGTATCAATACAACCTGCTGAGTTCATCTCTAAATGTGTTTTTACATTTTAGGGAACTGGTCCCTGGAGAAGACTGAGTCCTTCTCTCTTAGCAGCCATTAGTTGCCTATAGCTCTTCATCAAGGGGTAGGGCCTTGTGAACTGGTGTTGTCATTGTGCATGTATTATTTAGGCAACCATATTACCCCATAGAAAATGCATTAGTATGTACTGAAAATTAATATATCTAAACCAAAATATTTCTTCCAGTCCTAGAAGCTCAATATAGTCACGTGATATGGAATATTCTCTTCTGTACTTAGGGGATTATCTAGGGACAGTTTATCCAAATTTACTTATGGAAACATACCCCAGGGGATGTGTTAAATTACAAATGATTACACTGATAATCCTAGGCTAATAGAAACATTTGTATTATCTACATCTATTATTTAATATCGTCATAGGGAGTTTCCCTGAAGTAGAAGGAGACAAAACTTGGCCCAGGGAGTTTCAGTGGTAATAGACTTATATTCTATGTAGCTATATATTAGCTACAGCTGTCTGAATGGAAAATTCATATTGCTTCTCAGAAATAAGATCCAGGATTTGTAGTTTCCATATAAATGGAAACTTGAGGGCATAAAACAGCTTTCTCTGCTGTTTTTAATAAAATTTTGTGTTCTTTTCAGTTACTTCTGTTCAGTATGTTATACCTACATCAGAGGCAGGTTAAAACATTTGCATCAGTCATATGATTAGAAAAAGGAGTTGACTCATTGTGTAAAAAAGTGCCCCATATCAGGTTGGTTGAGTTAGGGGCAGGAGAGAGGGGGAGAGTAATAAAAGGGACATTTTGATAGAGGGGGCCATTTTGGGGTAAGAAACTTGGTGCCAGGGAAACTCCCAGGAATCCACAAGGATGACCCCAGCTAAGACTCCTAGCAATAGTGGAGAGGGTGCCTGAACTGGCCTTCTCCTGTAATCAGATTGATGACTACCCTAATTGCCACCAGAAACCTTCATCTAGTAACTGATAGAAGCAGATGCAGAGATCCACAGCCAAGCACTGGACCAAGCTCCAGGAGTCCAGTTGAAGAGATGGAGGAGGGATTGTATGAGCAAGGGGGGGGTCAAGATCTCGAGGGGGGAACCCACAGAGACAACTGACCCAAGCTCATGGGAGCTCATGGACTCTAAACCAACAAGCTAGGGAGCCTGCATGGGACCTACCTAGGCCCTCTGCAAGTGGACGACAGTCGTGTAGCTTGGTCTGTTTGTGGGGCCCCTAGCAATGGGATCAGGACCTGTCCCTGACACCTGAACTGGCTTTTGGAACCTATTCCCCATGATGAGATGCCTCACCAAGCCTTGATGCAGGGGAGAGGCTTGGTCCTGCCTCTACTTAATATGCCATATTTTGTTGATGCCCATGGGAGGTCTGCCCTTTTCTGTATGGAGAAGGAGTGGATGGGATGGGAGGGTAGATGGAAGGTGGGGGGAGGGAACAGCAAGAGAGGAGGGAGGAGAAACTGTGGTTGGTATGTAAAAAAAAGAAAAAATTAATTAAAAAAATAGGTACCCCAAAACATCACAGTAAACTGTTTGCATGATAAAACAGAAAAGAAATGGAAGGGCCCCTCCAGTAGATCTAAAGAATGGATAGATTAAAGTCTCCCAACACAATTCATGAGCTGTAGGCTAACTAAATCTGCCACTTTCTTAGATACCACTAGAGTAAACATCAATTTTTATTCATAAATAGTTATATAGCTTTTGTGTAGACACTGTGGCTACTCTAGTAATAAAACTCTAATTACAATAACTAGAGAGAGAGAAAAATCTCTACAGAAATAATTATGATATAGGAGAAAAATTAATCTAAGAGAGGTATAGACAGCCAGGAGGACAAGATGGTATTTTAGGCCACATTTGACAAGACTTGATGAAACTGTTGGCATTTGAGTTGAATCTTGGAGGATAGTTGTAGATCAGAGTGAAAGGAAAGACATTCTAGGAAGGAGGAACTCCTAGAAGGAAAAAAAAAAGAAAAAGAAAAAAAGCAGGGTGTAGTAGTGGTACAGGATCAAAGAATCCTAATAGTCAGATCTCCATGAGTTCAAGGTCAGCCCAGTCTACATAGTGAGTTCCAGGATAGCCAGCCCTACATAGTAAGACTCTGTTTTGAAAAACAAAACAAAAAGCATGAAGCAAAGGTGGGAATAACAGGAGCAGCTTAAAATTCAACAACTCAGTTGGACTAGAGTGTAAATGTAAGTGATACAGGATAGCCAGAAGAGTGGTTGAGGCCAATTCACATGGCCTTCCAGCATCTTCTGGTCATAAAACAGACTGTTTTTCATACTTGGGATAAAGTGCTATTCGAAACATTTAGAAGTCATTATTAATTTGTCTGATAGAGCCGACATCTTCCAGATAGCATAGGGCAAAGGAGATAGCATGCAGGATACACTATCTAATCTCACTTCTCTCCTTGAGAAAGCACACATGGAGAACGTTTGTCATTCACCAGCTGTCCAAAAGGGAGACCCAGTGTCAGCAGAAATATTTATGTCGGTAGATGTAGCTCTATTTACTTTGTATCATGCTGATACATTCTTCTGGCATTTCAGCTAGCAGAAAAATAATTTTATTATCTGTAAGTTGCACTCCAATGCTTATGTTTTGTTTAATTGTTGCTACCATTAGCTGTAAACCAGGAATGGTGTTGAGCAGAAGAGGGGGTTCTTTGGTGAGAACTAGAATGGATTTCAGGCAATGTGATAATAGATACCGTGCCTTTTTAGCATTCTCTTAATTATAGGAGACTGAGTGTAGACACTTGTCTAAACAGAGATTTTACTGCCTCATCATCTTTTTCTTACTCTCTTTGCTTACACGCTAACCCTTAGAACTCCTCTGTTTTAATTGTCAATTAAACGCGCTTAGTGCACACTAAGCAGATCATATGAAACTCGGCCAAAAGCAAACACTGCAAGTTGATGACTGAATAAATAGACATGCCAAGCACAAGACTAACTGCAGTTATGTTGGATCACTCCTCTGGGCGAGAGTTTTACTAGAGGAAAAACCATTGGTGGCAATCCAAATCACCTGGAAACGGGTTCAAATGCCCCAGAATGAACTACTAAGAAAATGGTACCACTTGCATGTCTCCCAGCCAACAATGGATACCTTATTGTTACGATTCAGAAAGCAAAAACAGAATACTTGACTGCCAACTTAGGGCACTGCTGGCTTAGGTCATGCTTAAATGAAATCATTTGAGGGATAAAGAGACGAAACTCACACAGTTCTTCCTACTATGGGGGGGGGGAAGCAGACTCAGCAAGAGTCACATTTTTGGGCACATTGATCAAAATAACATTAACATCAATTTTAGCCATGTTTATTCAAAATATCATAGTAAAAAACACTTCATTGCTGTCATCAAGGCATGCAATATATACGGCACACCTATGTGTAAGGAACTGAGTTAATAAAACAGGTGTGACCATTTATGATCTGTTCATTGAGAAATTGCCAGATTGTATTTACATTGCCCTTGATCTCACTCAAGATCATCTACTCCCCAAATCTATTCTACCCTTTATAGTATCCCTGCAGATTATAGAGCTCTGTGAATAAAGAATGTTCTGGCACTTAAAGGGAGTTATGGTGCAAACTGTAATTTCTTAAAATGAGAAAAATTAATTTACATATTCTTTGAAAAATCAAAAATCTGCCTGGCATGGAAAATCTTCCTCGAATTCCTGTGGTGCGCCACCCCCACATGCATGATCGTTCACAGCACCCCTGTAATTTGAATGGTGGTCCCATGAAGACCATTTTATTACTTAGGGAAGTTGAGGTGATGAAAGAGAGGAACACTGTTGCAGGTATCCTCACAAGGATTCTGGAGCAAGGGCTTTCTTGCTAGCTGGCTGCTCAGGGTGTTTCTGGGAAGAGGGAAAAGGATGCAGGAAAGCACACCATCAGTGAGGCACACTCTGTTAAGCCTGCTCCTATGGGAGCATTTGGGGTGAGTTTATGCCTTAATGGTCTGAAAGCTGCTTCTGAAGTGTTAACACCTCAGCAGAACAACCTTTTCCTGTTCTCAGGGAAACCCTCTCATACATAAAAACACAGACACCTGAGCTGGAGGAAGGCCAGAACATAATGAAAAGGCTGAGAAACACTGGCAATCACTCAGATTGCCCACCACAGCCAGTTACACACATAATCCACAACAAAATCACATCTCTGATTTACAGTATCCTGCATTTTGACTGTATGTTACGTTCTTGCCTCCATATTGACTATACGACCCTTCAGATAATTCAAGAAAACAAATGCTTTTTTTAATTAAAGAAAATAATGACAGAGCTTTATAAGAGAAACTGCACTATTTCTTATATATGAGCCTTCTTTCATTTCAGCCCAACCCTGAGGTGTAAAGAACTACCACCTTCACATGACAGAGGAGGACAGCAAGGGATATCAAAGTTCTGCTCCCAAGCAGTCCAGCCTGCAAGTTTTGTTCAATCCCAGGTAGTTCCAACCAGAGCCCACAGACCTAACTATTGTTCTCCACTGGCTCCATATCTGCTGATTTTGGAAGCAAGGAGTGGATGGTACCATCTGTCCACAGATTTGATGATAGGAAAACTGCCCAAGAATTTTAAAACTTATTCCAGAACATCATTGATGCTCATGGTCATCAAAACAACACTACCTAGCTCATGAGCAAGCTCGAGACCTCCCACACATGTGCTTTCATTAAATGTGCTCCTCGTGATTGCAAGAATATATAAATAAGCTATTTTATATACTTTATAAAGCATGCCAACTTAAAAATAAAATAACAAACAGACTGTGAAATAACAGTACCTTCACTGTCCACATTCCAGCTTCTGGCTCCTTGACATTCACCACTTTGGCAGAGTTATGGATATTTAACAGCTCATTCAAGCCAAATCCCTTTTTTATCAGCTTCCCTGAAAGACAAAACAAAGGTAGAAAGCACAATTTTTCTCCCAGTTAAAGAGATCAGCCAATTTAACATAAACAAGTCTCAGAATATGATCAGATTTCAAATAACAAAGAGATTTTTTTTCCACTAAGTATGTATATATATTATTTAACAGATATTTGTGTCCATAGCTCAAAATATTGTTTTATTTGTACCTAAAATATACGTAATTGTAGGCTTCTAGACACCGCAACTGAAGTAACAGATCCTCATCATCAGTTATGTGTTTGATAGTAAAATGAGAATAACAACTGAAAAAACCATCATGTTATCTCTAAAGCTAGCCTAGAGAACAATTGCCATGTTATGAAGACTTTACATGCAGTCAGTCACTAGAGACAGGTAGATTGCATAGGGGCAGAACTCAAACCAGAATACAGGTCTTTCTGGAGATCAGTGCAGATGCTACTAATGTAAGCATCCTGAGCAAGTCTCTGCATGAAGAGCAAGACCTTAACCAGTTTTCCATTAGGTGCAGGAGAAGGCTGTCTCTCAAAGGAGAGCTAAAGAACAGCATTGTAACAAAACACAGGGGACCATCTCCTATCTGCCTGAAATTTACTTCCAATAACTATTAATTGGGATCTAAGGAGAAAAAGATATAAAATGTAACTGAGCCCTAGTTTTTCACGTCTGGCTTCCCCATGGCCAATTTACTCAGGTATGTGTTTTAAACAGTCGAAAGACTGACCATCATTGTGAGCCCAGAGGATCTTTAAAGCAGTTGGAACACCATGCAATGAGCATAGCTTCTCGGGGTAGCCTGGGAGTTGTCACAGTGGGTGGAATGCGGCTGCAGCAGACAAACGCACAGCCGAGACCAGCTCTTGAAAAGGGGGTTTCACCTCTTTGTAAATTCCAGTGTTTTGCTAGTGTGGATGAGGAACTCTGAGCAATATTTCATACGCTTACAGGAATCATTTCACACTCTTAAAAGAATTATTTGCTTCAATGATGCGAATAAAAAATATAGTTAACCACTTCCCCTTTGTAAATATTCACAAGCAGAGAAAAGGTACCAGGCAGATACCAGAACCACAGTAGAACTAGAACTGTTTCCTGAGAACCACTTAATACAAAAGGGAGGAAAAGCGAGGTTCCTTTATTTTCAGATTTGCTTTTTAGTGTGAGTCTCATCGTTTTCAGCCAGCAGTAGAATTAGGAAAATCTTGTCATAAAATACAAGTGAGAGAAAAGTAAGTTAATACATTTATTCACCTACTAAGAATATACTTTCTTTTGGCAGTACTGGGAATTAAGGTGAGACCCTTATATATATTAGACAAGTGCTCTATCACTAAAATTTAATCACACTAAATTTTATTTATCTATTTGTGCCTGTTTGTGTGTGTGTGTGTGTGTGTGTGTGTGTGTGTGATGTATGTGTGGGAGGTGTGTATGTGTGCGTGTGAGATATATGTGTGTGTGATATGTATGTGGTGTTTTGTGTGTGTGTGTGTGTGTGTGTGAGAGAGAGAGAGATGTATGTGTGAGGGGTGTGTGTGTGTGTGATGTATGTGTATGATGTGTGTATATGAAATGTATATGTGAGGGGTGTGTGTATGTGCGATATATGTGTGTGGCGTGTGTGTGTGTGTGTGTGTGTGTGTGTGGTGAATGTATATATGAGTATGAGTGTGATGTATTTGTATGTATGTGTGATGTATGTGCGTATGTGGGTGTATGTGG